ACGTCTGACGATTGCATATAGCATGAAACAGACTGTCGCCTCTAAGTGTTGATTTCTATGTAAACTTTTATATTTACCTAACGCTCTATCTCTTATATTGAGCACTTTATTCCATAAATATAGCACACCTTAAGACTATATTTTTTATATATATATATATATATATATATGTGTGTGTGGATTAGGCATGCCTGGTTGAATAAATTAGAAAGTTTTTATCATAATCCTTTCATATTCACGAATATTTTTGTAATGAGAATCACTTGTATTTCCTGAGTATTTTCTGAGAATAAATCATCCGATATATATATATATATATATATATATATATATATATATATATATATATATATATTATAATACAATATGGTAATACGTATGGGATTTCGGGAAATACATCCAGGGGAGAGCTCAAAAGACAGAGCAAAATTATCATTAATTAAAGAATATCAAAACATAAAATCCCATAGGTAATAACTTTTATTTCATGAAAGCTTTAAAAAAAACAGCTCTCAAAAAAAAAAAAAACTGTCGTGGTGGGGATTTTAAGTGTTTGATGTTCCTCAATTAATAGTAATAAAATATATATATATATATATATACATATATATATATATATATTTAGTTTATAAAAAAACTAGGTAATCCGTATGGGTATGACTATTTATATATATATATATATATATATAATATATATATATATATATTTATAGTGACAGTTTGCTCTGTTTATGATAAACAGTATTATTTATCATAAACAGAGCAAAATACTTGTATCTATTAAACATTAAACATAAAAATGTCTTTAATAAATAAAATTGTCGGACCTTGTCCATTTCTTAACATATATATATATATATATGAACGTTAACAATGAAGTCAACGGCTGTTTCATGCTAGACGCCATCGATTATTTATATATATGGGTCAGTGGTGCATTGTGGGTAATCCATTCTGGCGGTTATTTTGTCGGGAGTGGCTTGTTTATTTATCATTTATTTTTTATTGTTTTTATTTTCTTTTTTTATTTTATATATTTATTTATTTATTCTTTTCGGTTTTCGATGTTTTATTAGTACTTAAGCATTTTGGGGAATTTGTTTAGGTCGATTATTTAATAGTTTGTTTTGGTCTGGGAAGATAAAGCTATTTATTCGTCCTATTTTTGATTGATTAGATTCTGCTATTTTGGGGGGACAGTTTTAATTTGTTTATTATTTTATTTATTTATTTATTTGGATTGATTATTTTACTTGTTTTTGAAGACGATTTTTTTTCACTATTTTTTTATTGAATATTTTGTGTAGAGTGCTTGATTCCAGTATGTGTTTGTTTAAGAGTTTAAAGAATATTTTACCTACGTTTGTTTTTACGTTTTTGCTGTACGGTGAGTTTAACCATATGATATTTCTCTTCCTGTTGGCCCTTTTCTGCTCTGTGGTGAGTATGTGTATTGCGGGGAGTCCGCTATCTTTTAGGGCTGTTTCGTAGTCTTTTTGGGGGGAAATCTACTTCGTTTAGGTTAGTTTTTATATCTATGTCGAATCCGTTATTTTTAAAAATCTTCATTATGGCTTTTCTACTTTTGTCTGTGTTTTGTTGGTTATAGTTTCGAATCACTTTAGCATCCAGAATGTTTTTCACACATATTTGAATATTATCTGTTAATTGACCCGTTCTTTTTGCTTTTCAACAATTTTTATCGTGATTTCAGACGAAGCTTTAATAAAGCAAAGCATGTTGGACTGTGGCCAGAAATCCTAATGTTCTTTATCCTAACATCCGCCTCTCTCTCTCTCTCTCTCTCTGTCTCTCTCTCTCTCTCTCCACAGAACTGGGTTGGGTGAAAAAGATTTGTTGTTAACATTCTTTTTCATTCGGTTTTCCAGTTACGAGTTCTTTTTAAAGCTGATCGTTTTGTGTTCATTTTGTTTAGTTCTTTTTTTCGTAACAGATTTAATGTTTAGTATAGAGCTTAGAAAAAAATTCGCAGTGTGAGATAGGCAAGAAGTAAGGCATGTAGCAACATCAGCCGGAAAATGGCACTCCTTTTAAAGGCAAGGAAGGGCAAAAAGTGATAGCGATTGCTGTATGAGTCGTACGATTTTTGAATCAAGCATGGGCAACGCCGGGCCATGCTGCTAGTATATATATATATATATATATATATATATGCCTGAATGTTCGAAAAATCTCAAAAGAAAATATGTGAATATGTGTCCTCCGATAGGAATCTTAAAACAAATGATAATATATTATGATATGGACTAAGCCCGACAATTATTTTTGTTTATACGTTAAGATAGACTTTGAGAAGATATGAGCGTTCGAGAGAAATCATGGGAAGTCTGTAGTTTAAAAATAGTAATATAACCTTGCTTACCAGATGCTTCCTCTGTAGCTAAATTGTATAACACGTCAGGCTATATGATGATTCCGTGTAGGATACGGGTTCGATTCCTGTCAGAGGACACATATTTTCTTTGAGATTTCTCGGACATTCAAGTCGGTAAAATTACTTAAATCTTTTTTTTTTTTTGTGTGTGTGTGTATGTGTGTATATATATATATATATATATATATATGTTTCATCGAATGTGAGAAACAAAGAAAGTTTTTCTAACGCTGATCCAGCGTCCCATTTTATGGTGGGGTGGGGGTTAAGAGAGTATAGAAAACTTAATAACTATTGTTCCAAGTGCTTCGTCCAATTCATTAGACTTTTTGGAACGTTCCCAATATGGAACCGTCACCTCGGTTTGACCTTTTTTCATCTGTTGTCTAATATTCCTTTCAGTTTTCTGACTTTAACACTGTGCGTAGAGCATATTGTTAATTTTGTTTGTATTGTTCTCTCTTTCTCTATCTCTGTTCATTATCTATGTCTGTTCACATCTATCTATCTATCTATCTATCTATCTATCTATCTATCTATCTATCTATCTATGTTTATTTCGATCTATCTATGCATGTGAGACTGGATGGAACATATACAAATCCTCTTTGAAAAATCTAGAAATCAGTTGGAGATCCTATGCAACGCTAAACCCAATTTTCAGAGAACTGAAGCCAATCTCTCTTAAGCTGGAACAAAAACGATTAGAGTTTGCCGGCCATAGGGAAATCGTCTCGTCCTTACTGCTATGTCTTCTCATGAAAATTGACTTTCCCAGATACCATAACTTGGGACTCAGAGTTTGACATTGGGGATCTGGGGACAGCAATACAGGAACGAACAGCGTGGAAAGGGATTGTCAGTTCCGAATGACCATGATGATGATGATGATGATGATGATGATGATGATGATGGATCTTAAATTGAGATTTCAGGCAAATATATTGGCTTCGTAGAAATTTGTGGTGTTGTACCAAACTACTTTTAATACCGGTTGGACAATGTTCAATTTCTTCTATACTAAATTTATAATAACGGAAGCATACAACAAAGTATTTTAAATGTATTTATCAATTACACATCCCCATAACCGTATCAATCCAGTGTGCCTATCTATCTATCTATCTATCTATCAGTCTCTTCAGATCTCTCTATCTCTCTATCTATCTATCTATCTATCTATCTATCTATCTATCTATCTTTCTCATTCTGTTCAGATCTATCTATCTATCTCAGTCTGTTCAGATCTATCTATCTCTGTTCATATCGATCTATCAATGAATGTGAGTCTATTAATATCTTTCTATCTACCGATGTTTATTGCGTTTTATGTAAGTGAATTATTAAAATTCAAAGAAAAAAACATTACATCTATTCATTACTTTATATTTTAATGGTTTTTATCAGCACGTTCTTTCGTTGAATTATTATTTGCCCGTAAAATTAAAAAAAATGAACTTGTGCCAAAAGTTTCAAATCGAATAAAACGCTAAGAAACAGTATTTTTTTTAATAATCCACATGATATAGTTATTGATTGGTGCATCAAAATTCAAATTTGATTTCATGTGCACAAAATGTTAGCGAATAATAATTTTTGTTTGCCATGGATTTACTACGCGATACTTAAAAAAAAAATTCTTTGCTTACAGTGATTGGTTCTTGCCTTCTTTTTGCACTTTTTATGCTTTTTCTGTCTGTTGATGAATTTTCGAACATTATTGATAGAATATGGACACCCAAAAAGGCTTTAAAATGGCCTTTGGAGATTGTGTAGAATTATTGATACGTAATTACTGATAAGGTTTAATTTGATCGATCGAATACTTGCATTTCTACCATGATTTTGTGTTATTATTGTTACTTTTATTCAGTCTTTGGTGATAGAAATTGAAGAGCAATAGCGAGAATACTTTACATCAACCACCCCTCCGGCAAAAAAAAAAAAAAAATCTTATAAAAGAAAAATATATTTAAAACCAGAATAGGAAAATATGGAATGACTATTTAATTACAATATTTTATAATAACTTCGTAATTGCTGACAGAGGGAATTAAAAATGAATTAATTATTAACAATAACAAATAAAATATACAGACAATAAAAAAAAAATTGGTTGGTTTATTTTATTTTACGGCATATCAACCTGAGATATTTAATGCCGGCAAGATTTTTTTTACAATAGATTCGTATGAATAGAATATGTATTTGTAAGAAATCAGTTTGAAGACCAGCTTTCATTGACGTATTTTTTGTAAAGAGGGTTTTCGTCGAGTCAAATGTATTGCTAGTAATTTATTTTCGAAAATGTATTGGTATTTTTATCACAAAAATCCATGTTCATACTTTCATTTTGACCCCAGTTTGTGAGTTAATTATAGACTCATAGCTGGGACCCTAACAAGTCCTACCACTTCGGGTTTGGGTGGACCTGGGAACAACAACAATGAAGAGAGGGTTCCAGGCTCCTCAAAATCTCCCATCTCCCGATCAGACGCCTTGCTGCCGGATGTAGTTTATCGTCATACCAAGGACGAAATAAAAAGATAGTTAAATTTAAGGCGAATCGGAATATCATACAAAAAAATAATAATAATATATGGCAATGATTCACCTAATAAAACATAACGTAACATCTCTCTCTCACTATCTATCTATCTATCTATCTATCTATCTATCTATCTATCTATCTATCTATCTAAATTTGTAGATATCTATCTATCTATATTAGGTAAGTTTTACATAAATAACTCAAACATATCTTGACATTCACACATTTTATTAACTTTTATTTTAATTAATGTTTTGTCACGTTTTACTCAAAACAGAAATCTGAAAAGTCATAAGATAATCCTAAAAACGCACGACTTTTTCTATCAGTGCCGCAATTTCAGGAATCATTATTTGAGTTGATTACGATTTCTAAATTACAGCATGTACACACACGTACACACCATCGTTCGCAGGCATGCAAGCCTCCTTCTAGAGACATACATAGAAAAAGTTGTTTATCCACGACATAAAAGATAATGTAGATAGAAAATATAAAATAAAGACAACCATAATTATCTTTATAAGAACGAAACCCAATTCGTGTCCTCATATTTTCCTAATTTTTTATATCTTCATTTTAAAACACTTCTTTCAACACTTTTAGCTAGTATTGATTATCTCCCCTTTATCGTTTCTTGTGCGCTACGGAAAGGCCAAAATATGAGGGTGTGCTGAAAAGTTCATAGGCTGATTATGAAGGAGTGATGCTGAGCTGTGAAATCTTGCATGAATTAATTTCAACACTTCTTATTAATAACTGCATTGGTTCTTTCCCGATAAAAGGGTGGGGGAAAAGTTCATAGGCTGACTATGAAGGAGTGATGCTGGAGCTGTGAATTCTTGCATGAATTAATTTCAAATCTTCTTATTAATAACTGCATTGGTTCTTTCCCGGTACAAGGGTGGGCTGAAAAGTTCATAGGCTGACTATAAAGAAGTGATGCTGGGGCTGTAAATTCTTGCATGAATTAATTTCAAATCTTCTTATTAATAACTGCATTGGTTCTTTCCCGGTACCATTGTGGGCTGAAAAGTTCATAGGCTGACTATGAAGAAGTGATGCTGGGGCTGTGAATTCATGCATGAATTAATTTCAAATCTTCTTATTAATAACTGCATTGGTTCTTTCCCGGTACAAGGGTGGGCTGAAAAGTTCATAGGCTGACTATGAAGAAGTGATGCTGGAGCTGTGAAATCTTGCATGAATAAATTTCAACTCTTCTTATTAATAACTGCATTGGTTCTTTCCAGGTACAAGGGTGGGCTGAAAAGTTCATAGGCTGACTATGAAGAAGTGATGCTGGGGCTGTGGCATGAATTAATTTCAAATCTTCTTATTAATAACTGCATTGGTTCTTTGGTACTGAGGTGGGCTGAAAAGTTCATAGGCTGACTATGAAGAAGTGATGCTGGGGCTGTGAATTCATGCATGAATTAATTTAAATCTTCTTATTAATAACTGCATTGGTTCTTTCCCGGTACAAGGGTGGGCTGAAAAGTTCATAGGCTGACTATGAAGAAGTGATGCTGGGGCTGTGAATTCATGCATGAATTAATTTCAAATCTTCTTATTAATAACTGCATTGGTTCTTTCCCGGTACAAGGGTGGGCTGAAAAGTTCATAGGCTGACTATGAAGAAGTGATGCTGGGGCTGTGAATTCTTGCATGAAATCATTTCAACTCTTCTTATTAATAACTGCATTGGTTCTTTCCCGGTAAAAGGGTGGGCTGAAAAGTTTATAGGCTGACTATGAAGAAGTGATGCTGGAGCTGTGAAATCTTGCATGAATAAATTTCAACTTCTTCTTATTAATAACTGCATTGGTTCTTTCCCGGTACAAGGGTGGGCTGAAAGTTCATAGGCTGACTATGAAGAAGTGATGCTGGGGCTGTGAAATCTTGCATGAATTAATTTCAAATCTTCTTATTAATAACTGCATTGGTTCTTTCCCGGTACAAGGGTGGGCTGAAAAGTTCATAGGCTGACTATGAAGAAGTGATGCTGGGGCTGTGAATTCATGCATGAATTAATTTCAAATCTTCTTATTAATAACTGCATTGGTTCTTTCCCGGTACAAGGGTGGGCTGAAAAGTTCATAGGCTGACTATGAAGAAGTGATGTTGGGGCTGTGAAATCTTGCATGAATTAATTTCAAATCTTCTTATTAATAACTGCATTGGTCTGTTCCCGGTACAAGGGTGGGCTGAAAAGTTCATAGGCTGACTATGAAGAAGTGATGCTGGGGCTGTGAATTCTTGCATGAATTAATTTCAAATCTTCTTATTAATAACTGCATTGGTTCTTTCCCGGTACAAGGGTGGGCAGAAAAGTTCATAGGCTGACTATGAAGAAGTGATGCTGGGGCTGTGAATTTTTTGCATGAATTAATTTCAAATCTTCTTATTATTAACTGCATTGGTTCTTTCCCGGTACAAGAGTGGGCTGAAAAGTTCATAGGCTGACTATGAAGAAGTGATGCTGGGGCTGTGAATTTTGCATGAATTAATTTCAAATCTTCTTATTAATAACTGCATTGGTTCTTTCCTGGTACAAGGGTGGGCTGAAAAGTTCATAGGCTGACTATGAATGAGTGATGCTGGAGCTGTGAAATCTTGCATGAAATCATTTCAACTCTTCTTATTAATAACTGCATTGGTTCTTTCCCGGTACAAGGGTGGGCTGAAAAGTTCATAGGCTGACTATGAAGAAGTGATGCTGGGGCTGTGAAATCTTGCATGAATTAATTTCAAATCTTCTTATTAATAACTGCATTGGTTCTTTCCCGGTACAAGGGTGGGCTGAAAAGTTCATAGGCTGACTATGAAGAAGTGATGCTGGGGCTGTGAATTCTTGCATGAATTAATTTCAAATCTTCTTATTAATAACTGCATTGGTTCTTTCCCGGTACAAGGGTGGGCTGAAAAGTTCATAGGCTGACTATGAAAGTGATGCTGGGCTGTGAATTCTTGCATGAATTAATTTCAAATCTTCTTATTATTAACTGCATTGGTTCTTTCCCGGTACAAGGGTGGGCAGAAAAGTTCATAGGCTGACTATGAATGAGTGATGCTGGAGCTGTGAAATCTTGCATGAAATCATTTCAACTCTTCTTATTAATAACTGCATTGGTTCTTTCCGGTACAAGGGTGGGCTGAAAAGTTCATAGGCTGACTATGAAGAAGTGATGCTGGGGCTGTGAAATCTTGCATGAATTAATTTCAAATCTTCTTATTAATAACTGCATTGGTTCTTTCCCGGTACAAGGGTGGGCTGAAAAGTTCATAGGGCTGACTATGAAGAAGTGATGCTGGGGCTGTGAATTTTTGCATGAATTAATTTCAAATCTTCTTATTAATAACTGCATTGGTTCTTTTTCCCGGTAGAAGGGTGGGCTGAAAAGTTCATAGGCTGACTATGAAGAAGTGATGCTGGGGCTGTGAATTCTTGCATGAATTAATTTCAAATCTTCTTATTAATAACTGCATTGGTTCTTTCCCGGTACAAGGGTGGGCAGAAAAGTTCATAGGCTGACTATGAAGGAGTGATGCTGGAGCTGTGAAATCTTGCATGAAATCATTTCAACTCTTCTTATTAATAACTGCATTGGTTCTTTCCCGGTACAAGTGGGCTGAAAAGTTCATAGGCTGACTATGAAGAAGTGATGCTGGAGCTGTGAAATCTTGCATGAATTAATTTCAAATCTTCTTATTAATAACTGCATTGGTTCTTTCCCGGTACAAAGTGGGCTGAAAAGTTCATATGACTATGAAGAAGTGATGCTGGAGCTGTGAAATCTTGCATGAATTAATTTCAAATCTTCTTATTAATAACTGCATTGGTTCTTTCCCGGTACAAGAGTGGGCTGAAAAGTTCATAGGCTGACTATGAAGAAGTGATGCTGGAGCTGTGAAAATCTTGCATGAATTAATTTCAAATCTTCTTATTAATAACTGCATTGGTTCTTTTTCCTGGTACAAGTGTGGGCTGAAAAGTTCATAGGCTGACTATGAAGAAGTGATGCTGAGCTGTGAAAACTTGCATGAATTAATTTCAAATCTTCTTATTAATAACTGCATTGGTTCTTTCCCGGTACAAGGGTGGGCTGAAAAAGTTCATAGGCTGACTATGAAGAAGTGATGCTGGGGCTGTGAATTCTTGCATGAATTAATTTCAAATCTTCTTATTAATAACTGCATTGGTTCTTTCCCGGTACAAGTGTGGGCTGAAAAGTTCATAGGCTGACTATGAAGAAGTGATGCTTGAGCTGTGAAATCTTGCATGAATTAATTTCAAATCTTCTTATTAATAACTGCATTGGTTCTTTCCCGGTACAAGGGTGGGCTGAAAAGTTCATAGGCTGATTATGAAGAAGTGATGTTGAGCTGTGAAATCTTGCATGAATTAATTTCAAATCTTCTTATTAATAACTGCATTGGTTCTTTTTCCCGGTACAAGGGTGGGCTGAAAAAGTTCATAGGCTGAATATGAAGGAGTGATGCTGGAGCTGTGAAATCTTACTTGAAATCATTTCAAATCTTCTTATTAAAAACTGCATTGGTTCTTTCCCGGTACAAGGGTGGGCTGAAAGTTCATAGGCTGACTATGAAGAAGTGATGCTGGGGCTGTGAATTCTTGCATGAATTAATTTCAAATCTTCTTATTAATAACTGCATTGGTTCTTTCCCGGTACAAGGGTGGGCAGAAAAGTTCATAGGCTGACTATGAAGGAGTGATGCTGAGCTGTGAAATCTTGCATGAAATCATTCCAACTCTTCTTATTAATAACTGCATTGGTTCTTTCCCGTACAAGGGGTATTGAAAAGTTCATAGGCTGACTATGAAGAAGTGATGTTGGGGCTGTCAAATCTTGCATGAATTAATTTCAAATCTTCTTATTAATAACTGCATTGGTTCTTTCCCGGTACAAGGGTGGGCTGAAAAGTTCATAGGCTGACTATGAAGAAGTGATGCTGGGGCTGTGAAATCTTGCATGAATTAATTTCAAATCTTCATATTAATAACTGCATTGGTTCTTTCCCGGTACAAGGGTGGGCTGAAAAGTTCATAGGCTGACTATGAAGAAGTGATGCTGGGGCTGTGAATTCTTGCATGAATTAATTTCAAATCTTCTTATTATTAACTGCATTGGTT